TTTTTTGTTGTGAAATCAGACACAACTTAAAGATGCTCAGGAGAATATTTTCATAGCCATTTAATCAGGTGAAGAAACTGCAGAAAGCTGAAGAAAAAATTGGTTTGAAAGAGTAAATGGAGAGGCAGACTGATTACAGCTAGCAACAAATAATTTTTCAGTGATTATTTTGTACTGTTGAATAAACAGAATTGAACAAAGTTGGACACCTAATGCATGAACCAAAAAAAAAATGATGTAGAAAAACTGGACACACGGTATTAATACAACACTTAAATATTTAGGCACTGAAGACACCAAGTGAAGTGTTTCAGGTGTAATTTTGTGCCATTCTTCCTGCAAACAAGTCTTAAGGTGGGCAACAGTACGGGGTCTTCGTTGTGGCATTTTGTACTTCAAAATACGCCACACATTCTCTATTCGAGACAGGTCGGGATAAACTTTTACATGATGGCTCAGGACAAGTTTAGCTCTTTTTAAATTACTGTTGATCTCCACAAACTAAAGAATTCAAGTCAATTTCCACAGCTATGGGCCAGTTATGTTTACAGTTGACATTTTTATTCATTGATTTAGCACACAACCATTAGGCTGGGCTATTTAGATGCTTTTCTCTTTACTTATGTTAGTAAAATGATCAGGGATCTAGGGAAGTGGTCACTTGCAATGTTGAACCTTTAACAACATTAATTATGATGATGTGGGAACAACACCAACACGAGGATATCAGATCCTGCTGGCAGGCACGACCCTAAAATGAGTTCTATTTTTAAAAGTGTTGACAAGAGAAAGACAATGAGCTGCCGAGTTAGTTAGGACTGTAGTATGATATAATATAATACGCTCAAGTTATTCCTGTCCAGTTATTTACAAATCACTATCTATTACCCACTCCATGTTGTTTTCCATTTTTTCATAGTATTGGGTTAATGTGCTGTCTCCAGTATTTCTAGTACATTTTGTTTGTTCATACATTTGCTGCAGTGATATGGAAGCTGTTCCAGTCTGTTGTGGTAAAAGGAGAGCTGAGTGTAAAACTGAAGCTCTGAATTTACCATTACCTATGGTTATGAGCACTGGGTAGTGACCGAAAGAACAAGATCGCAGATATAAGCGGCTTTGCCTGAAGGGTGGCTGGCAAACACCTGGCCTGTCTCCTTTAGAAATAGGGTCAGGTGTTTGGCCATCTGGGAGGGCCTCAGAGTAGAACCGCTGCTCCTCCACATCAAAAGGAGCCAATTGAGGTGGTTCGGCATCTCACTATGATACCTCCTGGGTGGGGTGTTCTGGGCATGTCCCAGCGAGAAGAGGCCCCAGGGAAGACCCAGGACACACTCAAGAGAATCTATCTTTTGGCTGGCCTGGGAACGCCTTGGTGTTCCCCTGGAAAGGCTGGAGGAGGTGGCCCAGGAGCGGGAGGTCTGGGTTTTCTCTGGTTAGGCTGCTGCCCCTGCGACCTGGCCCAGGACAAGCAGAAGAAAATGGATGGATGGATGTCCAAACAGGGACTCAGAAATGCACACTATCTTGGTCGACTGCTGCATCTAAACTTTCTCCCAGACTTCTCTTTCTTTCTTGCCTTCATAAAAGACCTAATGTCCTGTTCAATATCGAATCCAAAGTTTATTTAGCATACAGACTGGAAAATCTGGGATTGATCCACTGACTTTTCAATTTGTAGGCGCTACTACCTGAGCGACAGCCCTCACCAACACTGCATGAATTTAGAAACTCCTTTTAAGTCTGAAACACATGGAAAATGTGTTTATGTGGTAAACAAAAAAGTGTGAAACAACTCAAAACATATTTTAGATTTTTCAAATAACCAGGCTTTGCTTTGAATACAGCTTTGCACACTCTTGGCATTCTCTCGATGAGCTTCATGAGGTAGTCAGATGAAAAGGTTTTCCAGCAACCTTGAAAGAGTTCCCAGAGATGCCGAGCACTTGTTTGACCTTTGGCCCTTACTCGGTCGATCTCATCCCAAACCATCTCTATTGTGTTTAGATCAGGTGACTGTGGAGGCCAGGAAACCACTTTTAGTTTTACCCATAAACTAAAAGTGGTTGTAGCCTTCTGAATAGCCTATGAGTCACTGTCAGTCATTAACTTTGAGTCCTTATGTGGCAGGAGGCATCACTGCTAGAGGGGAGGGGCTTCTGCAGTAGTACAAAAAACGCATTTGCTGTACAGCATTTAAGAATACTAAGTGTCATCACTCTTTAGAACATCACTGGTATCCTGTGGTTGAGATCACACATTTACAAGTTTGTTAAAAATATACTGCTGTGTTCGTTGAAACAATGTTTTACCATTATTGTTGTCTTCTTCAAAAGGGTGAATGCTTGTATATAATGCTTGTATATAGCTCTTGTAAATCGCTGTCATTTAATGGGACAAACCTATTTTCAGAGTTTGACAAGGAGGGTATGACCTCTGCTGTAGAAAGTTCTGGGTTGTGACGATGAGACAGATGAGTTCCGCAGGAAAAAAGCTGGATGGGAGTTCTATTACCTTCAGTGGAAATAGAGTGATTGTTATATCCAGCTTTGAATTCCTTCAAAGTGTGGTTGATTCGTGGTAGAAACACATAATGAAGGCAAAATAGGTCTGTTGCATTTTCCAAGCCTAGGATACCAAGTGATTCCAATTCATAAAATATAGGTGCATAAATGCGGCTACAGTTGTTGTTTAAGTCTCGGTTGAAACGCTCAATCCTCTGGTTGTGCACAGAACTTCCCATTAAGACAGAGCTTTCACCCCTGCTTGCTCGCATGTCCTCCCAAATCTGAGCGTTCTCTCCTCCATGATCAGTCCTGATATGCAGGGGTCTGCCAAATTGTCCAACAGCTGCAGTAAAGAGGGCTTTCACAGTCTCAGCTCGATTATTGCTGGAGCACTGAAGAAACATCAACATCCTGCTGTATCCATCTATTGCACCATGAACAACAAACTTCCAACGAATCAGTTTGTGATTTCCATCTATGTGCCATATGAAATTTGGATGAGGCACAGAATATACTCGCCGAGCAACTGCAGTTCTTCTCCTGGATAGAACACCAGCCGAGTCCACCCTCCGCAGTGACTTTCTTACGCGCCATCTTTGAACCACTATGTTTTTGGAACGCAGATGACCCATCAGCATCACTTCTCCAACATTTGGATGTTCAGTTTTTATCTGGGACACTATCTGATCTAACTCATGGTCACTGATTACATTGAATTTTGACTCTGAGATATTATAGTCTTGCAGTAACTTATACAGAGTGGGCCTGGAGATGGAAAGGATAGATGCAGCTTCAGTAAAAGATGTTTTCAGGGAAAGAACATTTTCCAATTCCTCTTTGGAAATCTGAAGCCTTCCTTGGTAACCATCCTAGAACACGGCACAGAAAATCTCAATGAGCACAATTCTATAACAAAAGATGGGTAATTTGAGGCAATTGTACTGTGACAGATTAGCTAGAGTAATATTTTATCAATAGTTTTAAAATATGAAAGTGAGCAATCAAAAGACACTTCACAGCAAAAACAGTAATAAAATATGACGTAAAACTTGTGAATGTTGTTGGTGGTGATGTGACACTGCTAGTGATGGACCCCTAAGAAGATGAAATGTATGTAGAATCAGAATCATTACTTTGACAGGATTTAATTTAAGGTGACAAAAACAGAAATCAGTCAGCTAAATGATATGTGTAAGAAGGCCTACCGAGCGGTATGGTATCCCAGTGGAGACAGCAGGTCTACTTGGTCCAGGTGCATTGCTGGATTCCTAAGGAAACATTTACATCAAGAACGACTGTTACCTACCTACCAAATAAATAAATAGAGTTGTATGATGTTCGATCTCTGTCTGCTGCCTACCAAATGAAATAATTGAGGACTAGCTAAGTAATTTAGCTTTGCTAGTTTTGCTAACACTGCTATCAACCCGTCCAAAATGCTATACAATAAACTTACCAAGTGCTGCGGCGTTTGTGAGGTCGAGGGTGCACTACCGCTGAATCGTTGGATGGCCGACAAAACGGCTCTTCCAATGTTTTCAGCTAAATCGCTGGACATGCTGGTAGGGAATAGTTGAAGCAGCTCATGGCAGTCAAAAGTGACCGTGAGAGGAGCGCAAACACAGAACCTGACCACGACCGGCACACTTTAGCGCGGGAGGTTTTCTTGAAGCTTTTATTTTGGTATTTCCGTTGACCCGTACAATAAATTTGCATATTAGCTAAATATTTAGTTTCCCGTAACATTTAGATTTAACATTTAACATTTAGATTTATATATAACATTTAGATTTAACATTTAACATTTAGATTTATATATAATATTTACATTTAACATTTAACATTTAGATTTATATATAACATTTAGATTTAACATTTAACATTTAGATTTATATATAATATTTAACATTTAGCATTTAGATTTAACATTTAGATTTAACATTTAGCGTTCAGATTTAACATTTAAAATCCGGTTTTAAATATGAAAAGTTACAAATATTTTACTAAATGTTGTAAAAAATGACTGGAAAAAACATGTTTTTGTAAGATTTAGAGCTAAATGTGGAAAAATGTTGCTGTTAATTTCGGCATGTTTCAGTTTACAAACGGCGCCCCATACCACAGCTGCCAGTAATTCACCGTAAATTCTACAATTTTTTTTTTACAGTGTACTACAAAACATGCTTCTTAGACACAAGGTATTTTTACCCTGTTGTTTAACACAGGTCAAAATAAAGGACAAACAATGCATATGCTTAAGCAGTGTTACATCCCCCAGGAGGATGTCTCTTCTCCCTTCTAACCCTTTGTTTTGTCTAGGCTCCACCTCCTCTGTCCTGATTGGATGCTGATTGGTAAGTAGTCAGTGATGTGAGCACCACACCCATAGATACACATACACAAATAGAAAGACAGAAGACAGAGGGGAGGAGCATAAACACCAAATACATGTTAATATAAGGAGGAGAGCTTGATGTACATAGCAGTCAGAACTTGACATCAGCAACAGAGACATCCTTTTTGTGCAGACTGAAGTTCATCACCATGGCCAAGGTAATTAACACACACTTAAACAGTAACATAAGTCATGTTATTATGAAGCAGGTGCTGGGTTGGGGGGACTCATATAAGAATTATTTTTTAAATTTTAAATTTTATTTGTTTTCATATTTCTATATTGTATATAGTTTTTTGTTCAAGATGAGTTTGCTAAAGCCTTTTAACTACACTTCAGTCGGATTAGTGACGGTTAATTTTCCACAAAAAACTCGATATATTGAAATATGTTTTTGTATTTGAGTTTTCTGTCCAAGTACCCCATTTTGTACTTGCTTCATTTTCCAAGAAAAGGAATCCAAAATATTTATGTGAATGGATATTTTTTGGACACCAAATGCGCTTAGGTGGATGAATTTGGTTATTTTCAGATCTGACCAATCAGACCACTGGATTTGGCAACAAGTTTGTTCGTAGCTCAAAACATGCAGTGGTACTGAATATACAATGATATGTAAATAGTAAAATAACTATTTACCTTGGAGACACAGCTAGATGCTGCTTCAGGTCATTTAGCTCATTAAATGTGGTCCCAATTTTGGCAACAAGAGCTCAAAGTGCCCTACTAACATCCTGAAATCCTGAATCATCAGCATTTGCATTTTCTGTTGTACAGTTCATTTGCTGTTATAGTGTTCTTTTTATGGATAAAAAGTGTCTTTTTTGTTTCAAAATAGCTGATAACTATTCGCTTATAGCTGCCAACATCTGCGAACAACTATAGTTCTATAAAGTTGTTCTATATAGTGTGTAACTGTTAATATAGAGCGTTATTAAATTTATTGCTAATGCAATCATATGTCACATTGACATCCCTGGAAATTTTAGATGGTACTTGTCGACCCCTGATTTAAACCGTTTTTAACTCTCAGTGATGCTGCAGTGTTCGTTTGACTTTGGGATATGAAGCCGGCGGTGTTTTGGACCCAGATTACAAGACATTTATACAGCCGTATTTCGCGCATGACTATGAAAGGCGGAAGAGGAAGTAGTTCCTTTGAATGAAGACAATCCGAATGTTATAGTTTCTTTCCACTGTGTTCCTATTAATGACAAACTACAAATTTACCCTAAATTACTAAAAATATCGATATTTTAATGTGAGAATCGATTCTAGAACATAAATGACTGGTATTGGAGGAATCGATATTTCAGGATCGAGCCACACATCACTAGTGTTTTGTACGTGTTTTGGAGTTTATACGTGCTTCTGAGTTTGTATGTGCTTCTGAGTTTTTACGTGTTTTGGAGTTTTTATGCATTTTGGTGTTTTTGCATGCTTCGGAGTTTGAATGTGCTTTGGAGTTTTTATGTGCTTTGTCTCTAGGGGCCACTGTAAATATACTTTTATTTATTTACTCCACATAAAATGTAATAAATAAATCTTATAATACAAAAAACAACTATTTACATTTCAACTTTTAACTATTTAAATTTTCAGCTTTTTCCTTTTAAACAAATTTAAACTGAAACAACACAAAACACTGCAAACCACAACACAATTAAATATAAATTAAAATATGAAAACAAAAAGAAGATGCACATTCTCTGTCATATAGGCCTGCATGAATAAACTTTCTGAATCTTTTATCATCCGCAACTGAAAATAGTTGTGGATGATTACTATACCTTTCTAATGTGATGTCGTTGTCCCTGGCTCTCTTTCTCGGTCTCTCCCTCCCGGTGCGCCTTATGTATGAATTCTGGTTGTGCTTACTGACCTTGAACTGATTTGGTCCACGGCGCTCAAAAATCTGTCAAAAAATGTTTTAGTACGACTTTGGTAACTACGAAGCCGCACTGCTTGATGGATTGTCGGAGCATTACAGCTGCCGTAGTCAGGAGCCTCGTGGAGTAATCTGGGTCCAAAAGTCTGTATGCTTCATGTCCCAAAGTCAAACGAAAGAAAACAGATCCGTTCATCAACAGTGCGCCTTATGGTCCAAAAAATACGGTAAATTGCTTTTCTTTCCCAACGAACACTGCAGCATCACTGAGAGTTAAAAACTGTCTAATTCATCTTTAATAAAATGATCAGCGTTGCTGCCTTACTAGGCGTAACAATTAAGTTTAACATCCAGGTATCCATGAAAACAGAATTTATTAAATTCAACAGAGTTAGCTAACTTCCTGCTAACTTCTAACTAATTTCCAGCTAAACATGATATACCATGTTCTGACTAAGAGATTTTTGAATAAATTAAAACGTACAGCTCTGCTATCACTTCCAACATAAATAAGGACAAAAACTAAACAGCAGTGATGTTTGTAGAGTTACTGAAGTTGGACTAGCTGGTATATAATAATGTGCTATGTGATCGCTAGCGACAAAGCTATGTTAGCATAACATAAACACAGTGAAGCTGGAGGATGAATACTTTTTTCCCACCTGATAAAAGTTAACTGGAGGGTTCCTGATGGTTAGGGACAAATGCATGCAGGATGCTGTAAATGGGCCTAGTTACAAACAAATAAGTTGTTTAATTAAAATAATCTCTGTGCACTGTTGTTGTTTCTTCAAAAGACATATTTGGCTGCATTGCAGAAAAAGTGAGTGAGTGTGTGTGGGAAGGTGGGTCCTGTTGTTGTTGTTCGGAGCTGGAGGGGAATGGACTGGAGGATTCTCCTGTGGGTTAACAGTCCATTTTCCTGTGCCTTTTCAATTAACCGTGGTGAAATCAAAACGTCTGGTGCTTGAGAGCATTTGTGAACGTTACAATATTGTCCAATTAAAAAAAATTACATTTATTAATCATAAATTGGCCTGCACCTGTCATAGATGTCTACATGACATCCAAAAAAATTACCCATTCCAAAGTTGAAATGTTGAACGTCTTATTGACATCCAGGTTGGGGCGTGGTTGAATGCCCAAATTGTAGACCAAGTTTGGGCGTCATACAGATGTCCAGAATTGGTCATGGAATGACAAACCTAATATACAGTGGGGCAAAAAAGTATTTAGTCAGCCACTGATTGCGCAAGTTCCCCCACTTAAAATGATGACAGAGGTCAGTAATTTGCACCAGAGGTACACTTCAACTGTGAGAGACAGAATGTGAAAAAAAAATCCATGAATTCACATGGTAGGATTTGTAAAGAATTTATTCGTAAATCAGGGTGGAAAATAAGTATAGGAATAGCAGAATCTGCCTGCAGCACTAAAGGACTCCATGAGAGCATCAGCTCTATCAAATATCAAAAATATTCAAAAGGACAAGGATAAAATATCAGTTAGATTTCCTCGTGGGAAAATACATTCTTTCATTTAAAATTTTCATTTGGGATGAAAGACACGAACGTCATTCAAAGTAAATCATTTGTTAATCGCAAGAAAAACCCTGAGAAATTAATTCCAATCTCCCACTCAAAGATGATAACACAGTATCACTTTCCATGCACTGTTTGTTCTTCTTTTATGCATCTCCATAAGACAACTTTGGCTGTCTAATATGTCATTTTTGTGCTGTTGTCCCTGGTGTGCCTGGTGTCCAAGATGAATAAAGTCAACCAAAAGTCGTGCAAAACACCACCCTTTGAGGTACTACTTTATTTCATTGTAGTAGATATAGAGATTACTATGTAAAAAGTAATATGATAGAAGTTGCAATTAAACATTATATATATTGTATATATAACTCTGTCATTTTGGTTTTGTACCTGGTTGTTGTCTTGGTTTTACTAATCAACTTTGTGTAGATAAACCAACCTGACAAGGATGACGATGACACCAACCCTGGCACTTGCAAAATTGCAGTCCAGGAGAACAGCAAAGATTTAAGAAAGGTGATTTAACTTGACTCTTGGTGTTTATCTCACAATAACCGGTTAATTGAAAAAAAATATTCTTATAATCTGGTACAGTATTGAAAATATTCAAAAGGACTGTAACTGTCCATGTAAAATAAAATATCCTTTAAATTTCCTCTTGGGAAAATACCTTATTTTTATTTAAACAAGTTGCCATTGCCACAGTAAAAGGCATGATACTAGAAGATCCTTAGCCTAGCATCAGCCTCAATGCTTACATACCACTGTTTGAAAAACATTAAGTTATATATAAAAGGACTGAGACCTGCTACCTGTTCTTGGGTAAGAGCTGGAAATAGTCTAATTCTTTTTTGTCTTGTTGTAATGTTATGCCCTGTTCTTTTTATTCACTAAGGTGTTTAATGATCCCATCCATGGCCACATCGAGTTACATCCACTTCTTGTCAAAATCATAGACACCCCTCAATTCCAGAGACTACGAAACATCAAGCAACTTGGGGGGATTTATTTTGTTTATCCAGGAGCATCTCACAATCGCTTTGAACACTCGATTGGGTATGTCCACTGGTTTTCACACATTTACACCTAATTATAATAAAAATCCAAAACAAGGGACAGACTGCTTTATCAACTTTATATACTTGACATCAGATTTTTTTTACTCTTTTTAGCAGTGTAGTACTGTACCAACTGAAAACAATTAAGCCAACGTTCTAAAAAGTGTGTGTCCTACATTTTACTGTAAAGGGTGGCACATTTAGCAGGTGAGCTTGCAAAAGCTCTGAAGGTGAAGCAGTTGGAGCAGATCAAGCCACTGGAGGAGTTGAAGGAGTTGAAGGAGTTGAAGAAGTTGAAGCCTTTGGAGTTGGAACAGTTGAAGAAATTGCAGAACTTGACGCCTCAGGATTTGAAGGAGCTGCAGGAGTTGATGCCTGACAATTTGGAGAAGTTGAAGAAATTGCAGAATTCGAAGCCTGAGGATTTTGAGAAGTTGAAGGCTGAGGAGTTGGAGGATTTAAAGAAATTGGTAGAGTTGGAGAACCTTGGTTTTACGAAGTTGGAGAAGTTGAAGAAATTGCAGAATTCGAAGCCTGAGGATTTGGAGAAGTTGAATCCTGAGGATTTGAAGATGTTGCAAAGGTTTAAGCCTAAGGATGTGGAGAAGTTTGAGAAGTTGGAGAGGTTAGATGAGTTGAAGAAATCACTCATCAGTGACCAAGATGTTCTCTGTGTGCAGATTGCCGGTCTTTGTCATGACCTAGGTAAGTAATACACATACTTTTTATAGCATAAGTATTATGTTGCAGATAGTCATCATAGGGTGTTATTAAACATGAAAGTCAAATGAAACCATTCCCATGTCAAGTACTATGTTGACTTTGACCACTGATGTGGCTAGGACTAACAAAGTCTTAAATGAAAGCAGAAAATAAAATCCATGTGTTTAACAGGATCAACATTTAAGAAGTTATCACAAATCACTCTGTTGTTCATATCATATGTTTATTTTGTCATATAAAGGACATGGGCCCTTTTCTCATTTTTTTGATGGGATGTTTATGGATGCAATCAAAAGAGACAAAAAAGGCAAAGCAGACAAAGAAGTCACAGACAATGAAAAATGGACGGTAAGAGTTTGAAATAATAGTTGGAACATATATACAAATTTAAATAATTAAATTAAAAAGCGATCTGAGCTTTAGAGGCAACTGGTTTTAAACTTTGAAGAACTATGTTTCCCGGTGCTATGGTTCTTAGTTTCTGTAATATTTTGGAATTTTGATCCCTTCGTTAATATAATCATGTCTGAGTTTCTATTTACCTTTTTCCTGCTTTTCAGTGTTTACGGCTAAGATTTTTTTTGTTTCATTATAATTAGATTTGTGTTTGTTACCTTTATTATTCTAGTATGTTGATAATCTTTTGGTATTTTTCCATTATTATGGCGAGTGTCCATTTTATCTCAACTTTGTTATTCCTGCCTCTCTGGTGTTCTTTTTGTGTCTTGTTTTGGTGTGTCTTTTCTCTGTGTTATTTCTTGTTTTATTATAATAGTTAAATTGATAGGTAATAGTGTCTCTTCTGCCTTGCTTTGAGTTTTACTTCCCCTGTGATTGTCTTGATTGTCTGCACCTTTATTTTGTTTCTCCTAGCTGTCTATCTTCCTTAATCACCCTCTGTCTATAAATTAAGAGAGGATGCAGGGTCATCTGATCAAACGCTAACTATATGCTCTATAGTTAGGGCTGGTTTAGGTGACCCTGCATCTGCTGCAATAAAGCTAGGCTGCTGGGGCTTCTCATGAATGAAGAATATATCTTCTTCACTGAACTTTTTTCACTCACTATGTGTTAATACACCAATCTGCATTTAATCATTACTATTAATGGTTCTTGCTCTCTTTTGCCCTCTCTTCCTCCCCTCACCCCAAAACTGGTTGTAGCAGATGGCTGCCTATCCCTGAGCCTCGTTCTGCCAGCGATTTCTTCCTGTCAACCCCTTAAAACCTTAAATATGATATATGATATATGATATGATATTTCCAGAAAATTCAATTTATTTTTTTTTAAATGGAGAGTTTATTGATACATTTGACAATTTTTAAAAAAATATATTAAGTACATTTCAATTTTTAGATGTGACTTCCATTGTATTTCCTACAACTGTCTTTTTTAAATTACTTAAAATGTGTTCTCAGAGAGAAAAAAAAAATCACACCGACGATGGTAGAAGGCTCAAAAACTCAAAAAACTGTTTCTATCAAATATGACACACTAGGCATAAAGAAAAAGCCTCCCCCCACCCCCCTCCTACTGTCACCAAGCGCTTGCTCATAGGGGGACATGTGGTTGATGGGGTTTTCTCTATATTATTGTAGTATTTTTACCTTACAATATAAAGCACTTTGAGGTGACTCTTGTGGTTTGATGCCAAACAAAACTGAATTGATCATAATTTATGGAAGACATGGTTTTATTTGGTGTCTAGTCTGTATTTGAGTCAAATCCTGAACTGAAAAATAAAATCAGAGTACCTACTCTCACTCTCAGGGTATCTCAGACACCTTTGTCTGGGCCCTGTGGTGTAAGGATGCTCTTAAGGGTGCAGGGTGGTTGTTGTTCGGTTTAACTCAAATCAAATCTTTTCTTATCACTGACCAGTTAATGGAAATTACTAGAATTTATATTGTGGCATTTCTGGTCCAACTGACTACTCAAAAAAATTGACATTATAAGCTGTTATTCTATTCACTGCAAAAACTCAAGCAGGCCCAACGAGAAATCCATACAGAGTAAATATATGTCAAATGTAAAATTATAGCTACACTGTAAACCCAAAGAACTTTGCAGAATGTAAAAAAATTGAGGCTACTGTTTGCCTCAATCACATGTATGACTGCTAAATTTAAAAACTTAAGTACATTTCTTCAGTTCAACAGTATTTTCTTAGCCATGACCAATAACACACTGCAATGCCAAAATTTTAAAAATACTAAAATAAATCATTTTAAAAAGAACATAAGATGCTAAAGACATGATGTGCAGTTTTGAAAACCCCAACACTGAGCCCAACAAAGAGGAGAAATACCTCCAACATTCACAAACATTTGACCACGCAGTATGTAATTAATTTGCATGAATGTAATGTCTTTGGTATGCTGCTTAGAGATGCTGGTGACAATGAGCAAATGAGAATTGAGAATCAAGAAGGAATCGAATCAATAAGTGATACTGATAATGGAATCGGAATCGCTAAATTCTTATCAATTCTGAACCCTATGTACCACTGTCCTTCTTGTAGTCCAGTTATTGCAACAAAAAATTAAATAAAACAACAAAAAATAAAACAAGATACTGTGGTCTGATACAATCACCCAGACTCTTGAGTTTCTTAAGTTCGGAAAAAAGTTACCAGCATTAAGACTACCGTACTCTGAATTAATACAGTGTCATTCAGTCCCTTGGTAATAATTGTAGTAGTAGGTTTAGTGCATAGGTCACTTAAAACATTACCAACAAGGTCATCAGCAACAGTTCTTGGGAGATCTTGTTTGATTTTTAGTTACAACTCTGTATTTTTGTAGTTGTTCTGAGTGCAAACTACTTATGGGTAGATAAAAACAGATGATCTGTGTTCTAGGCAGTAATCGCTTCAGAGGCCACTGAACCCGAGCGACAAATGGAAGCAAGGTTGAGATGGTTTGGAAATGTGGAGAGAAGGAATAGTAGATATAGTGGACAAAGGATGATGAAGATTAAGCAGTAAGACATGAGAAAAGCAAGAGGAAAGCAAAAAAAAAAAAAAAGTGTTCTAATGCTAGAATTCAAAATTTCAGTTTGAGTGCGGGTGTCCCCAACTTTATAAACAGTACACTTGCATAATGACTGAAACTAGCCCACTGATGAACAATGGCCATTAATATGCAAATTGTCATTAATGCTGATCAACCAACAACCACTCTTGTCTTAACAAAGGAATAGAGTAACATATATGTTAAATGTACTTTAGATACTAAATCTATGCACTAACTTCAAAATTTAGTATGATTGTCTTGTCCACAATAATAGAGGGATATGAGGGGATATGATGTCTGAAAGGGATCACTTGGTAAAGTTATTTTATTTTATGAAGGGCTCTTTCGTTTGCTTGTTTTTGGCTTTTTCATTTTGTATTGCTTTTAATTCAGATATTGTACATTGGCTTTGTAAAGCAAATTGATGCTGTTTTTTAAACGTGCAATAAAAATAAGGTTTGCATGCTTGCTTTTTTTTCCATTTTAACCTGTCGCCACTAAAGCATCCACCTGTGTATTCTTTCAGCATGAGAAGGCCTCTATTGAAATGTTTAAACACCTACTGGATCAAAATGGCTTAAAAGAAGTGATGAAGAAATATGGACTGAAAGTAGATGAAGATGGAACTGACCTGGTGTTTATTGAAGAAATGATTAAGAAACCTCAGGATGAAAAACCTCAGAATGATGCAGCTCAGGATAATGAACATCAGAACAATGATGCTTCCAAGAAGGTACTGGTAAGTATTATCTTTCCTACAGAAGTCAGTGTCTAATGTCTTGATGCATGCTCAATCATTCAGCCAAGAAAATCCCAAAAAGTTGATTCTGCTCATCTGGGCATAGCGTTTTCAGTGGGAGGAACGTTTCATCACTCATTCAAGTGACTTCTTCAGTCTTAGTGTCTAATGTTTGTCTTTTGGCTTTGTCTCCACAGTGGCCATATAAAGGTCGAGAAGAGAAAAAATCCTTTCTCTATGAAATTGTGTCAAACAAGAACACCGGGATTGATGTTGACAAGTTTGACTACTTTGCCAGGTAAATCTTGCTTTACAAAAGAAATATTCATATTTTGATGCAATGCGCAAAACTACTTTATACTGTTTTCTGCTTTCAACTCGTTAGTTTTATGATTTACTATTTGTAGCACACTTCGTGGTTCTTTGAAGAGTTTACCATAAGTTGATGAGGGTTTTTTTTTTTAGGTTTTGTTAAAATTTATTTTCTTTTTTTATTTGCATATTTCCTCTCTCCCATCTCAGGGATTGCCACCACCTGGGCATTCCGAACAGCTTTGACCATCAGCGCTTCGTCATGTTTGCCAGGGTGTGTGATGTGGAGGAGGATAGGAAAAAAACTAAGCACATTTGCTCTAGAGACAAGGTATTGACTTTTGCTTTTTTAACATTTATTTTTAAGGAAAAATTAATCTGAGTAGCTATAACTAAACTATGGCTGTCAACAGGAATCTGCAAACCTGTATGACATATTCCAGCAAAGGCTCTCGATCCACAGAAGAGCCTGCCAGCACAAGATAAAAATGGCAGTAGAAATTATGTGAGTACCTAGAGTTCCATTTTCAATACTACACAACATTTAGCTTGTCTGAAGTTGTGCCCCTGAAGTCATATGTTGCGTCATTTTATCTAGGCTCAAAGATGCCCTCATACTAGTAGATGACCATCCAGACTTCAAAATTAAAAGTTCAAAAGGGGAGATGCTAAATATCTCCCAGGCAAATGGTGACATGGAGGCATACACAAAGCTGACAGGTAGTGGCTTCAATCTGTGTTGTGTATAAATTATAAATTGTTTATCCATACACTTTTTTTAAATTTTATTTTAATTGTATTTATTTTTCTCATTCAGTTTATTTCAGATAAACCATCTCCAAATACAAATTGTAAAAGATTACGGACAACACTCAAATAGGACTGTTTCTTTTGACTGACACTTTTAAATTAATTTAACTGTATATTGATTTAAACTACTGTTGTCTGCAGATGGGCTTTACTCTGTTACATTATATTTAGTAATGTTTGCTATAATAATTCAGCTGGGTTTTTTGTGATATAAATTCGTATAAATAACTTTATAAGGCATTACTGATACATTTGTGAAACTGAACTAAATTGATCTTGTTTGAACTGACTTAACTTCCAATTTATTTCTGTGTTTACTCTGAAGATCATGTGTTTGAAAGAATACTCCATTACCAGGAAGGAAGGAAGGAACCTTCCTCCGAGGAAGAAAGGAAAAAAGAACAAGATTTGGAGCAGGCAAGAGAGATTCTACAGAGGGTCGTGGAAGGAAGGAAGGAACCTTCCTCTGAGGAAGAAAGGAAGAAAGAACAAGATTTGGAGCAGGCAAGAGAGATTCTAAAGAGGGTCATGGAACGGGACCTGTACCGCTGTGTGGGTCAAGCCAAGGTATGCAGTTATGTTTTTATGTGCCTGTATTAAAAGCCCAGTATTCACACTGAATGGGATGCATGGATGGAGGAAGGGAGGGAGGGAAACTCAGAACCTGAACTTACAAAGCATACAATACTACTTTCCAAGAGTCGTTTTCATGTAAGTACTAAAACACCAAGCTGTACATTTATAGATATATATTTTCTGAAGAATGTTTTGGAACAGCTCAAATGTGGTGGGTGTGAAAACTCCTGTGTGAAATAGAGAAATTGAGAAAAACATTATCTTTAAACATGTGGTTTCATGTAATTGTGCTTTCTGTGTGTATTCAGTAATGAATAAATCCTTTTCTTTGCCCTCCTTTTCCAATTCAAGAAAAAATCAGGAGAGGTAAGAAAGCAAGAATGAGAACGGCTCTTTAAACAAGATTAGCTAAAACAACAGTAACAACACTGATGTTCTCTCCTCCATCCTTCAGGAGATAAAGGAAAGGTTAAAAAACCTGGTTAACGACATTCAGGAGGACGGGAAAGACAGAGATGAAGTTAATGTTGGTTTTATTAATTCATCAAACTTTTAAAGTCTTGTTTTTTTTTAATTAATTTCCTTTAAAATATGTTTCAAACTTCCACTGGTTTATTATTTACATATGAATATAAACACAGGGTCTCTGTTGCATTTCATTTTAGAATGTCACTTTGACATATAACATGGGAAATGAGAAGTCCATCACTAAAGAATATTCTTATGACAAGGAGAACTCTAAAACACCAGAGGTGAGAACTATAACCCTCATTTACATGCACTGTGTTCTTCTTTTATGCTTCTCCATAAAACAACTTCGACTTTGCCATATATCATTTTTATGCTGCTGTCCCTTATGTCCGGTGTCCAAGGAGAATGATTCTGAGAGCATATCAGTCTACGTCCATGTGTAAACGGGTATTTTTGAAAACGCAGCTTTTCTATGCGTTTGGGCCTTTCGTCCACACGTCACGCTTTGCGCCACATTATTGTTGACATGAGATTAATTTCAACAATGGTGGATAAAGACAAGATACTGTTGCTGTTAATTGTACTTACTGCAGTTTTTCCACGCTTACATATACTGCCCCTCCATTTAGAAAGATAGAGGTGTCAGAGTGAACTTCGGACGTGGCTTCTACATTCAACACAGACTGGCCAACATTTCTACACAGCTAGGATTTGGCATGTTCTTGACAGCATTTGACTTTGTTTTTTGCATTTACATGTGGACAGAGATATTTTTTCAAAACTGCATGTGTGGACAGGATTTTCTTCTTTTTTTTTTTAAGTAAATGGAAAATCTCAGTTTTCAAAAATACCAGTGTACTGTGGACTCTTACTTTCATACATGCCCAGGCTTGTCTCATACACAGTCTTGTAGTCTTTCATGATTCATCAACAAAACTTGGAATATAATTTTCCTTTTCTGAAGCTAGGCGAGTGTGTTGTTGAAAGGAAAACTCACAAGTTAATTATAGCCAAGCTGCTGCTAGGGGAAAAAAACAATACAAAATCAGTCTTATAGGTTGATGACAGTACATGTGGTGTTATTCTGACACTACCTTATCACACAGCCCTCTGGGAACTAGAACGTCATACAATACTACCTTCCAAGACTCATTTTCTATGTATCCTCTAAAACACCAAGCTGTAAATCAATATTTATTGTAAAAATCCTTTTTAAAACAGAGAAATTAAGAAAAACATTATCTTTAAATATTTGGTTTAATGTGATTGTGTTTTCTGTGCTAAATAAATCTTTTCTTCTCCCTCCCACTTGCCCCCTTTCTCAGGACAAGAAAAAAGAAAAAAAGAAAGCACTTGAGGTAAGAATGAGAACAGCTCAAGACTAAACAAGATTAAGAAAACAATAATAATAACACACACTGTTGTCTCTTCCATCCTTCAGAAAATTAAGGAGGATTTGGAAGGTAAACTGAGTGAATGCTCTCCTGATGACAAGTTTGAAGTTATTGTGAGTTTTATTAATTCATCAAACTTTTCTTAAAATCTTGTTGTTGTTTTTGTTCATTTTATTTAAAATATGTTTTAAACCTCCACTGGGTCATTATTTACATATTATGAATACAGGCTTCTCTGCAACATTTCATTTTAGGATGTCACTTTGGACTATGGGATGGAAAATGATGACCCCCTCATTAAAGCATATTTCTATCGCAAGGATAACCCTGATAAAGGAGAACCAATCCCCAAATCAGATGTGAGAACTACAGCCTTGATTTCCATATGCTGTGTTCTTTTTAATGCACCTCAATAAAACAACGTTGGCTGTGTAATATGTAATTTTTATGCTGCTGTCCCTGATGTCAGGTGTTCAGTGTCCTCCCAGACTGGTTTTCTGACGAGATGCTTAGGGTTTACTGGAAGAATCCTAAGGAACTAACAGATGAACAAATAAAAACAAAAGAGGAAGAATTCAAGAAAGTCTTCAATGACTGGTGCAAGGAGAATGGTTATAAGGTATTACTTTATCTATAGGTATTACTACATAATAAGCAAACTGATGCAAGTGTAAGCACGAGTTGAGATTGCATTTCATGACTCTTGGTGTGACTAATAAGCTTTATTTATAAACACAGGATCTAAACAAGGAAGTCCCCAGCGCTGGTCGAGCAACTTCAGGAAATGAATGAATGAATGAATGAATATGTCAAAGATTCAGTTATCAATTTTTTTTGTGCAACAGTAGAGATTTTAATATAGGTGTTTTGAATGAGAAAAATAATGTTGTTTGATTTTTTTTTCATTGTTTGATTTAAATGTTAACTATATGATTTAGACTAGATGTGAAATTTTATCAAAATATTACATATTGAATGATTTTTTTGTGATTTGGACTAACTGATACTACTTCCTTTAACATGTATCAATATGAAATAAGCTCTTGATAATCTAAAATAAAAAATTTATTGTAATGTTTTGACTACATATTGCACGTTTTCACTAGAATCAAACTAAATAGATCACCTCGTTTCAATACATGCAGTTTTGGGTACTGTTGTGATTTGGTCATTATCTGAAAATTCATTATTTATCATATCGTCTATCAATGAAAATCTATAAAAGTTAGAATCTTTCAGCTGTTTTCCTGTTCTGATTCGTTTGCTGCTGATTTCTGGTAAATTCCAAATAAAGCTAATTTTCTCTTATGTTTTGTGTCACTGTGAAGTTACAGCTCTTACAACATAACATTTAACACACTGTCTGTCCTTTGGGTGCTGCCTGAAAAAGGTAACCAGAATGCCAAGGTGGCTGGAGCTGAGGTGGTAGAGCAGATCACCTACTAATCGGAATGCTTTTTTATCTTGCTGCTACCCCCCCAAAAAAACCCATCTCCATAGAGACTCTGTCAGCTCCCAAAAAGACAAAAAACAAACTAAAAACCAGCAACAAACAACTTAAACATAAACAATCACAAAGAAAGAACAATACAGTATCCACATCTGAACCAAAGAGTAAAACAGTGAAATGTGGATTATTAAATATTAGGTCTCTCTCCTCCAAGTCTCTGTTAGTACATGACTTAATAATTGATCAACAAATTGATTTACTCTGCCTTACAGAAACCTGGTTGCAGCAGGATGATTATGTCAGTTGAAATGAATCAACACCCCCCGAGTCATTCTAACTACCAGAAACCTCGAAGCACAGGCCGAGGGGGCGGTGTGGCAGCAATTTTTCACACCAGCCTATTTATTAATGAAAGACCAAGACAGACTTTTAATTCATTTGAAAGCCTGATGCTTAGCCTCGTCCACCCCAGCTGTGAAACTCAGAAACCAGTCTTACTTGTTATCATCTATCGTCCACCTGGGCCTTACACAGAGTTTCTGTCTGATTTCTCAGACTTTATATCTGATTTAGTGCTGAGCTCAGATAAAATAATTATTGTGGGTGATTTTAACATCCATGTAGATGCTAAAAATGACAGCCTCAACATGGCATTTAATCTGTTATTAGACTCAATTGGTTTCTCTCAGAATATAAAAGAACCCACCCACCACTTTAATCACACTCTAGATCTTGTTTTAACATATGGCATAGAAACTGAACATTTAACAGTGTTTCCTGAAAACCCTCTCCTGTCTGATCATTTCCTGATAACATTTACATTTACAATAATTGATTACACAGCGGTGGAGAGTAGACTTTATCAAAGTAGATGTCTTTCTGAAAGTGCTGTAACTAAGTTTCAGAATATAATCCACCCACTGTTATCATCTTCAATGCACTGTACCAATATAGAGCAGAGCAGCTATCTGAACGCTACCCCAACAGAGGTCGATTATCTTGTTAATAATTTCACCTCCTCACTACGTACGACTCTGGATACTGTAGCTCCTGTGAAAACTAAGGTCTCTAATCAGAAGTGCCTGACTCCGTGGTATAATTCTCAAACACGTACCCTAAAGCAGATGACTCGTAATCTGGAGAGGAAATGGCATGTCACAAATTTAGAGGATCATCATTTAGCCTGGAGAAATAGTTTGCTGCTTTATAAGAAAGCCCTCCGCAAAGCCAGAACATCTTACTATTCATCACTGATTGAAGAAAATAAGAACAACCCCAGGTTTCTCTTCAGCACTGTAGCCAGGCTGACAAAAAGTCAGAGCTCTTTTGAGCCAACAATCCCTTTAACATTAACTAGTAATGACTTCATGAACTTCTTCACAAATAACATTTTTATCATTAGAGAAAAAATTACCAATAATCATCCCACAGATGTAATATTATCTACAGTTACTCTTAGTACCATTGATGTTAAGTTAGACTCTTTTTCTCCAATTGATCTTTCTGAGTTAACTTCAATAATTACTTCCTCCAAACCTTCAACGTATCTATTAGACCCCATTCCTACAAAAAGAAGTCCTGCCAGTAATTAATTCTTCGATCTTAAATATGATCAACCTATCTCTAATAATCGGCTATGTACCACAGGCCTTCAAGCTGGCTGTAGTTAAACCTTTACTCAAAAAGCATCTCTAGACCCAGCAGTCTTAGCTAATTATAGGCCAATCTCCAACCTTCCTTTCATATCAAAAATCCTTGAAAGAGTAGTTGTCAAACAGCTAACAGATCATCTGCAGAGGAATGGTTTATTTGAAGAATTTCAGTCAGGTTTCAGAGCTCAGCACAGCACAGAAACAGCTTTAGTGAAGGTTACAAATGATCTTCTTATGGCCTCTGACAGTGGACTCATCTCTGTGCTTGTCCTGCTAGACCTTAGTGCAGCATTCGATACTGTTGACCATAATATCCTATTAGAGCGATTAGAACATGCTGTAGGTATTACAGGTACTGCACTGCAGTGGTTTGTATCATATCTATCTATGAGGCGACTTTTGTTGTGATATGGCGCTATATAAATAAAATTGAATTGAATAACTACTAGACTACAGAGTACTGTAAACATTTATTTGTGTAATTTAAAGTACCTCATGGGCTAACACACTGAATCAAAACATAGATTTGAGGGAAAATGTACAGCTTTCATACGCATACAATGCCACCTGAAATAACTTTTCAATAAAAGATTTTTTAACTAGCTTTAGTTTTCAGTTTTCAGTTTTATTTGTCATATCAGAATCAGAATCAGAATCAGAATGGGTTTATTGCCAGATGTTGAGGTTTACAACATTAGGAATTTGCTGCGGTGCTTCAGTGCAAACAATAAGAATTAAAGTGCTATGTAGAAAGAAAGATATGTGCATGAGATATACATGAGATATATACATGAGAATAAGAATTAAGAGTGCTACGTAGAAAGATATATACATGAGTGCAGGTGGTGATCAGTGCCAGACATGAAATGATGCAGTGACACAGCGTAGGGTCATGTGTTAGTGGCGGGGACAGTCATGTGGTTATTGTTCATGTGTCCAACAGCAGAGGGGAAGAAACTGTTCTTGTGGCGAGAGGTTCTGGTGCGAATGGACCGGAGCCTCCTGCCTGAGGGGAGCAGGTCAAACAGACTGTGTCCAGGGTGAGAAGGGTCAGCTGAGATCCGGGCTGCATGCCGCAGTGTCCTGGAGGTGTACAGGTCCTGCAGAGATGGGAGTCTGCAGCCAATCACCTTCTCAGCAGAGCGCACAACACGCTGCAGTCTCTGTTTGTCCCTGATAGTGGCTCCAGCGTACCACACGGTGATGGAGGAGGTGAGGATGGACTCGATGATTGCAGTGTAGAATTGCATCATCGTCCGTGTTGGCAGGTTGAATTTCTTCAGCTGCCTCAGGAAGTACATCCTCTGCTGGGCTTTCTTGATGACGGAGGTGATGGTGGGCTCCCACTTCAGGTCCTGGGTGATGGTGGTACCCAGGAAGCGGAATGAGTCCACAGAGGTGATGGGGGTGTCAGTCAGGATGATGGGGGGAGTGGGGCTGTGTGCTTCCTGAAGTCCACAATAATCTCCACTGTCTTCTGGGCATTCAGCACCAGGTTGTTGTGGCTGCACCAGGACACCAGACGTTCAACCTCCCTCCTGTAGGCAGACTCATCCCCGTCAGAGATGAGCCCAATGACGGTGGTGTCATCTGCGAACTTGATTAGCTTGACAGACTGGTGGGTGGAGGTGCAGCAGTTGGTGTACAGGGAGAAGAGCAGAGGAGAAAGAACACAGCCCTGAGGGGAGCCGGTGCTGATGGTCCGGGAGTCCGAGACATTCTTCCCCAGCCTCACGTGCTGCTTCCTGTCCGTCAGGAAGTCAGTGATCCACCGGCAGATGGGATCAGGCACATTCATCTGGGAAAGCTTGCCTCGGAGATGGTCTGGAAGGATGGTGTTGAAGGCAGAGCTGAAGTCCACAAACAGGATCCTGGCGTAGGTTCCTGGGGAGTCCAGATGCTGCAGGATGAAGTGTAGGGCCATGTTGATGGCGTCATCTACAGACCTGTTGGCTCTATATGCAAACTGCAGGGGGTCCAGGAGGGGGGCCGTGAGGGTCTTGAGATGGGAGAGAACTAGGCGCTCAAATGACTTCATGACCACAGATGTCAGAGCCACGGGTCTGTAGTCATTTAGTCCAGTGATCCTAGGTTTCTTGGGGACAGGGATTATGGTAGAGGACTTGAAGCAGGCAGGCACATGACATGCCTGCAGTGAGGAGTTGAAGATGCCAGAAAACACTGGGGCCAGCTCGTTTGCACAGTGTCTGAGGGTGGCAGGAGACACACCGTCTGGGCCGGGAGCTTTCCGAGCATTCAGATTCTTAAACTGCTTCCTCACATCTGCTTCATGAATATGAAGAGTTGTGGTCGGAGGAGGTGGTGTGAAATCCTCTTTTGTGTGGGGTGAGGAGGGGGGTGTTGTAGGTGAACAGTTTGAAGGTGGTGATGGCTCTATGGAGGGGGGAGAGGTGGGGGAATGAGTGTCCAAAGTGCCTCTATTGTTGGGGTCGTTGGAGGTGTGAAGGCTGCCTGATGGCTCGTCAAAACGACAGTAGAAGTCGTTGAGGGTGTTGGCCAAGAGCAAGTCATCAGTGGAGTGGGGGGTTTTAGGCTTGTAGTTTGTGATATTCCTAAAACCTTTCCACACAGAGGCCGAGTCATTCTCTGAGATCTGCTGCTGCATCTTCTCAGAGTGCTGATGTTTGGCAATGTCCACTTCTTTAGTAAACCTGTACTTGGCCTCTCTGTAGCAGTCCCTGTCTCCGCTTCTGAACGCCTTACTCTTTTCCAGCCACAGCTTTTTGAGTTTAGGGGTAAACCAGGGTTTGTCATTGTTATAACTCACCCTGGTGCGTGATGGCACAATGCTGTCCTCACAGAAGTGGATATAGGAGGTGACAGTGTCCGTAAACTCGTCCAAGCTGTTAGAAGCAGCCTTCATTGTGTCCCAGTCTGTAGACTCCAAACACGTGCGAAGCTCCTCCACAGCCTCGTTGCTCCACAGTTTTTTGGTCCTCACGACAGGTTTGGAGAGCTTCAGCCTCTGTCTGTACGCGGGGATTAGGTGGATCATGACGTGATCAGAAAGTCCGAGTGAAGCGCGCGGCACCGCGCGATAGGCCCCGCTGATCGTGCTGTAGCAGTGGTCCAATGTCCTCTCCTCTCTGGTCGGGCATTTAATATACTGCTTGTATTTCGGAAGCTCATGGCTCAGATTGGCTTTGTTAAAGTCCCCAAGAGCAATGATGAGAGAGTCCGGGTAT